GTCCTGGAAGGTTTGCTCGGACCCTTGCGAGGCTCCCTCCATGGGGCCAGTGGGGGCGAAATCGCCAGCTTCTCTCCATAAGACGCACAGACTTCTCCCCCACTTTTTTTGGAGGGAAAAAGTGCTTCTTATGGAGCAAAAAATATGGTACATTTGTTTGCAGTTTTAAAATTTGTTTTCTATTTTCATTTGAGGTTCTAGTAATCCTCAGCAGATTATTTGCCGTATTTACCTAGCCTAACCATGGATCCAGATGACCTGGTGTCAGAACAACAAGAAGTAATAATCTCATCACATGGAAGAAAGGTTCTTCCAAGTAAAGGTTCATGCTCTTTGGAGACAAATTGGTCAATGATTCTAGGTAGCGTGTGTGTTTTTGTGTGTGCATTGAGCTACTCATGATGAAAGCGTCAAACAACTGGTGATCATTCTACTAGTATGGTAGTCTTGGCTAATGTGCTGGCAAGGAAGGCAGATGGGTTATGACAACCACACAAGGAAAAGGAAAGCTCAAAATTTTGTAGAAAGTTCTAGAATTAAATGTTGGGAACCTGAGACTCTACCACGTGAGACTCTGAATAACTGTTGCTACTACATGTAGATAATACAGATAATAAAGATGGACCAATGGCCTGATTCAGCATAAGGCTCATATTCAATCGGGACTTGCATCTGTATATAATGTTTTGCATTACACAGATGCCATTTTTATTATGTTTATTATTGACACTGAAAATGTACTAGTCCAAATTCAGATCTGACTGGGAGATGCTCCATTTGGATCATGGATAATTGTTCCAATCTAATCCATTAAAAATGTGATTGAATTCCAGCTTTCCTGAGAGTGCACTGCAATGGGACTTGTTTCTGATAGGATATGTATGGGACTGCAATGTACCTAGGATGAAGGCACAGTGGGTTGGATCCAGATTTAGCTATGCCCATTGGCAACCCATTAAAATTAAAAGAAACTAAATTGAAGTACCACTTATTTATGCTCTTAACCATGACCAAGTCTGGATTCACAGACACTTTACAAAAAGTCAAAGTACTAAACGCTTTGTAAGTGTCAAAAATCATGACAAAATATTGTAAAAGACAGCCAGTGTGGTATAGCGGATAGAGTGATGGAAACTCAGAAGACCTTGGTTCAAATTCCCAACTGACTATGGGAACTCATTAGGGGATGACAATGGTAAAGCCACTAGTTAAATATCTCACTTATCTTTAAAAACCCTATTAGGGCTGCTATAAGCCAGAAGTGACTTAATGGAACATAACAGAATAATGCAAAAAATGGTTTAAGCTATGCATCTATCTAAAAAAAAACACAATGTCCCTCTATGTCACATAACAGAAGAGAGCTGAATTTACTAAGACTTCTTGCCACATCACTCACATCTCTTAATGGTAGGGCAAAGGAAGAAAAAAATCTCACTTATTGTTAATATTTTAAAAATATGTTGAGTTCATCCAATGAAACTTGGAGCTAATTTAAAACAAAGTACTATGTTATACAGTATATAGATGGAATGTATAATTAATACATAAAATAATGGTGTCAATTGCCAAAGGGATTTATGATGTCTTCTAATGGTGTAATAATATTAAATCTGTGTCAGATTTCTGGCTAGCTGCCACAATAGCCAGACTTGCAACAATCATGTTCAGAGGATATACCTGAGACATCCAGATGCTGATGAAAAATAACACGGCATCATCTCCATCTTGCAAATGCCCTAGGTCATCAGGTTGATTGTTGCCAGAGGCTATAAGCTGAGTAGATGAACTGATACAAAAGAAAATAAAGATTATTATAGACAAATATTATACACATGCATAAACAGAAATGGCTGGGTTATTGTATAATATTGAAAGCATGTGTAAATGAGAAAGACATGACAAACATATCGATTTAGTAGCAAATATGGGAACAAGGGCAACCCAGTTCTCTCTGTAACTTCATTATAGCCGACAAGTGACAGAAATAAACCCTAAATCTGCTAGAAGCAGGAGGGGGAGGCTCGGGTGAGATCTCTTGCAAGGAACAGGCAAATGTTTGAGTGACACATGGGTCTGTGGACACCCAGCCTTCTCTCCCCTGCTCCCCCCTCCCCTCAACCATCCTCCTGGCTTCTCCCTCTCAAGTCAGCAAAAATACCTTCACTCCGCAGAAGGCCATATGCGAGTTGGTGGCTGAGGTGATGTCAGCACCGGTCACCCAATGGGGACCCAGTGACAATGTCCGAGGATCTGGGCCTCAGGCTGCCTCATAAAGGCGTGTGCCAGCCTCAGAGCTCGGTGAAGGCTTCTGTACGAGGACGGGTCGTGTGGGCTTTCCCTCCATCATTGGATACTGGTGTGTCAAGGACCATGGTCTGCTGAGAAGGAGAAGGAACTCAAAGGGGGCACAAGTGACACTCCATTGACCATATTGTTGGGGAGCAGCAGAAGCAGGCCAAGCCAAAGGAGAAGAGCAGAGAGAGGCTTTTAAACACAGCAACAGGACAGCTGTGGTGGGGCAAAAATGGAAAACGCCCATGCCAAGACAGCGGAAGAGTGCCTGGCTTACTTTGGAGTGAATGAAAACACAGGCCTCTCTCCTGAGCAGGTGAAGAAGAACCTAGACAAATATGGACACAATGGTAAGTGCCCATCAAAATGATGGTCTTCTTTTTTACCCATATGGCTAGGTGTCAAGGTGCAGGGAAGTGCAAAATGAAAGGGGGAAGGGGACAGAAAGAGATGCATGGACCACTGAAGGATGGACTTGGAAGAATGGGCATGAGAACCGAAGGAAAACAGGAATGATCAAGTACAGGATGGCAAGGTGGAAAACTGCAAACACATGGATTCTATACCTTTTCAATGAATGAATGCAAGGGCAGATGGAAGGGAGGATTTGATACATCTTAAAGCATAATTACTATATCGTTATTTAGTTAGAGGAGAGAGGGAGGGAGGGAGGGAGGAAGGGAGGATGGATCTGATGGGAACTTGAAGTTGTTGATAGAATGTGAATAGGGATGGAGACAGAAGCAATAGCAAGCAATGAAGCACTGAAGATTTCAAGCTTGGGGAAGAGAGCCAAGCTGGGGACAGGGCAGCTGCTACTTTGCTAAGAATAACCCAGTAATTCCCTTTGGTATGAACCAGATATCAAAATTGCTGATGGTCAACTTGTAGGAGCAGCCAGGAGCTGGGAGAGGGATGTGTTGATCTTTCACATTTATTGAGGGTGAAGCTTGTTGGATGCAGGATAGAACTGAGATAGGAAAATCCTTGGGGAAATGGGTTAAGTAACAAAATAAAATGGCACCATGGAGTTCATTAAGAAGAGAAGAACATTAGTTCAACGGTAGGAGCATCCTGCCAAAGATATAGGCAACTGAACATGAACAACAATGTAACGCCTCTCTGTTTTGTCATACGTGATGTCCTCCAAGATCTTAGTCTCAATTTTAGTGAAGGAAATGGGGAGAACATAAATACTGGACTGCCCAGTAAGATTATGGCAAGAATTTTACAACATGGGATTGTGAGTATTTATCTATGCCACTTTGTGTTATGTGCATAAATGTGCAACTGCCTGTAACACACACCATTTTGCATCTCCCAGTCTCCTTCTGGAGTCCAGCCATAGAGGACCTGCTACTCTCAGCATAATTTCTGCAGCAGTAGCTTGAGCTCTATCATTTATTTCAAAACTGTGTTCCATAAACATAGGGGCTCCTCACAGTCTATAGCTGTGCCCCATATCTGTCTTACAGTGTAAACCTGAGTGTTACCCTATGTCTTAATTCTCCTGTTCAGTTCTGGTCCCTCCTTTAACTTGAGCTCCGTACAAGAAACCAACCTCTTCATAAAGTGAACTCACAGAGCCTTTTAAATCTCAATCCTTTCTCTGTCTCTACCTTAGTAGCACAGTCTGCGAAGTCATCATCACAAACACCCTAACCAACTTCTCTTTCTTTTTCTTTCTTTATATGTTGTCTCCAAAATGCACAGAACTTCCAGCAGAAGAAGGTGAGCCCTTAACACAAGTATGGAAAGGCGTTGTAGATGTTAACACAATTCTCTGTAATGTCACGTACCTTGGGTACAATGATCTTGCTTAACTTTGAGAAAGGCCAACTAGGGCTGCCAGGTTGGACCTGATGTTTTTGACTGTTAGCCTCCTCAGAGCCTCTAAAGTGAAGAGTAAAACCACAAGATGAAGTAATACAAATGCGAACTGTATTTTCTGCTTAGTCTGAAAGGTTTTGCCATGAGGTTCACCATGAGGTTTTCCATTAGGAGCTCCTACCCTGAAGTAACAGACTGAGCCAGGGTCACCTGACTGGCCCAGTCTTTGTCCCTAAAGGCCTCACCAGTCTCCTACCAGAGTTCATCATCACCTGAACAGTCTAGCACACCTTAGCTTCTAAGGTTGCCTATCCTCTGCCTCTTAATGCTTGAATTTCAGGATGCTAGCCAGTCCTCCCATAATGACCATCACAGTTCATCAAAGCACAGCCCTTTGAGGTATTGCTGGGTTAGCAACGAACATTTAGGAGGACAGAGTTGATTCCTCAAAGAGGCAAACATCCCTTTAGTGCCCTAGTATAGGGAGAAAGATCAACTTTTGTTAAGATGCAAAAAGGCCTCAAGGGGTATCATTTTCCCAAGCTTCTCAGATTAGGCCTTATTCAAAAACCCAAGTCAGAGGCAATCTCTTGTGGAAATTGCAGATCATTTGGAGTGCCTGCTGCATCTACCTTCCCCTCTTCTACCCATTTCTTGCCTCAGAAACAGGGCAAGGAAGGCCAACAGAACAAGTTCTTCCTCCTTTTTCTTGGCTTTCTTTAAGACTTCCCTTCCCTCTCTTTCTTGCTTGTCAGGCAAATCCATATGGGAACTGGTGGTGGAACAATTTGAAGACTTGCTTGTGCGAATCCTTCTGCTCGCTGCCTGTATCTCCTTTGTAAGTGACCACCATATTGGGCCTGAGTGACCTATGGGTTCTGTAATTGATACGGGACTGAGGAGGATCTCTCAGTGCAGGAGCCGAGGAAAGGCAAGGGGCCTGGGGACACGTGGAGGGGGCAGGAGCTACAGTGTTGAAAGAGATCACTGTGTAGTGGAGGGGCCTCAGTCCATTCCCAATTAACAAGGATTAGTTCCGGCCTGTGTTGGGAAACTGCCATATATTCTGCAAGAACCTGGGTTGATCTTAACTGAATAATTGCAAATATTTATTCTGTAATGTTAAATCCTCCTGACCCACACCATCAGGTGTTGTCCATGGGAAACTGGAGTTCACACACACTGACAAAGCTCTTTAACTATAACTGGAGGACTTAATGGAAGACCTAATTTGAACCTGTGTCCAGTATACTGAGCATTTGAAGACTGTATTTTTTTTCCTCAGCGCTGGCCATTTAACAGTGCTTAAGATGTGCATTTAAGTCAAGAGATACGTGGAAGTTTTTTTCAGCCAATGGTGGCTCAAGCTTCATTTCTCACTGTCTGTGCCTTGTACTTGACAGAAGCCCTGGTCAGTTAATCAGTTGAGGTTATCCTGCATTTAATTAAGCATTTTTAAACTGCTTCCTGTACATTCATTAATTAAACGTGCATTTGCACACCCATTTTCCTTCCTTTTCTTTTTCTTCTTTAAGAAGGAGAAACAAATTGAAAAATTAATCTGGAGTGTTTGTATGGGGTGGAGGGCAGTAATGTTGTCCGTGGCTTTCGGCTAATTAGTGCTGTATACTGCCAGCTTCTGCTATGAATTTACAGAACCAGCTCCCTACTCAGCTTAATCCCAGAGAGCAGCTTGTATACCTAGAGAAGGTTGTCATAACAAAATACAGGGAATTTAATTCTTGGCAGCCTGACCGCTTAAATTAGCTATTTCTGCCTGTACCCTAATAAATACTTATACCAAAGCCAGCAATAGGAAAATAGGTTAATTGGAGAACCTCTACCACCCCTTTGGGCAACTTTTCCACCCGTACCACCACTACCACCACCGTTACCATAAAACTGAAGGCAATAGGAGCTGAAGTTTCCCTCAACACAGCTTGTCCTGCTACTCAGTTTCTTGACACTTGAGATGTGGCCTCCTTAGAGTGTGATATTAAATCCTCCAGGAGCACATGGCCTGGCTCAGCAACAGGAGGTTGCTGTAAAGGTCATAAGTTAGCGGCTTGGTTCTCATGTCGCCTGTCCCCTCCACCTCCTTCTTACTAAACCCAGGAGCCCTCCTTGAATCTTCTCAGACATGCAGGAGAAGTATTGTGTCAAGGGCCTGCCTGAGACATTTTGCTGCCTGAAGAGAAAGAAAGACTAGCACACTTTCCACTGTTCCACATGCAAACACTTCCAGCTGAGTATACTCAGTATAGCATAATCCAGCACATCCCAGGGAAGCATGCCAGTTTAGGAGGTGAGGCAAAACATTGTGTGTGGGGGGTTTCATAACTGCCACCCCTTCCCAGCTTCTGCTGAGATGGCTGCTTTACTCTGCTTAATCACAAGGGGTGTGGGGGGTGTCACCCTACTTGTGACTAGATTTATCTGCTCCAGTCACTAGCCACTTCCTCATTCCATCGGGGTGGGTGGGTTCATAACTGCCACCCCTTCTCAGCATCTGCTGAGATGGCTGCTTTACTTTGCTTAATCACATGGGGTGTGGGGGTGTCACCCTACTTGTGACTAGATATATCTGGTCCAGTCACTAGCCACTTCCTCATTCCATCGGGTGGGGCATAATATGCTTTTCAGAATGGGTGAAAGGTCTGTGCTCCCCCCCCCGGGCCTGGATTTAATAACATATTGTAGGAAAAATAACGCCTTTGTAATGCACATATTTCAGAATGGTAAACTGGAAGATGATGCGAACTCTCCATTACATAACCACAGGTATACACTTCCTCCAGTTTGCTGGACTGATACAGTGCTAGATTTATTTCTTATTCTATGGCATATTTTCAATAATTGAATATATTCCCTAGTCACCCTAAGAAGAATCACATCCTTGGTAGCTGACAAATCGGATAGCATGGTTTCCACTAATACTACGACAATTTTAAGAATCCACACCATAAATCAAGGGGCTGTAACTAACATCATGTGGATGTTGTTGGACTGCAACTCCCATTATCTCACATAACTGGTTATGTACTCTAGAGCTGATGGGGGCTGTAATACAACAGTATCTAGAGGGTCACAATTGCACACTGCTACAGAAAACTGTAGGTTTCTTACAGATTACCAATTGCGACTATGGAACTGGGAATTAATTGGGGTGTGTGCGTGCAACAGACCCATTGGTAATATTAATTACAGAGATCTCAATGCTGTCCGGAATATTTTCAGCTCAACATTGCAAGACGCATTTGTAGGACTGACTTGATACCATCATTCTTGCAATTTTGAGTCCTTCTGAAATCATGAACATAACCACATTTTATGTTGCATCCCAGCAAGTGTCCAAGCACCAGTGCCCAAATTATTCTTCTGGAATACACACACACATGCATGTGTTGTGCCCTCCAGCAGGATGCAATGTGGGACCCTGTATACATTTCATTTGTAGATGACACAAGCCTTCCTTTCTCTTCTGAAGCTGTGTGTATAATTGCACACTTGCACCTGCCTACACAATTATATTATATCCATTATATCTATATGCTTGCTTAGGCATACTCAGGCAAGCAGGGGCCATTTGCACCCATGTTCTCAGATTTCATGGGATCAAATTACACTCTTCATCTTGTGCACATGCAAAGCACAGTCTGAGTTCAGCTGTCTCTAGATTCCAAATGTTGAGAAGAATCAAAAGGCAAATGCAATCCCAGAAGGATAAGAGAAAAAGGGAGGGGTGGGGAGAGACTGAGCAGGGACTCCTTATTAAAAGAGAAAAGCTACGTATGTATATGATGGAGACTGAAGATTTGTTCCCCTCCCCATGCTGCCACTTCAGAGTTAACCATGTATGTCTTCTTCATAGGTGCTGGCCTGGTTTGAGGAAGGTGAGGAGACCATTACAGCTTTTGTGGAACCATTTGTCATTTTGCTGATCTTGATTGCCAATGCAATTGTTGGAGTATGGCAGGTAAATGAATTAACTAAATAAATAAATAAAAATTGTAACCTGCTTCAAAATACTTTGCATATATTGACTGTTGTCATTGTAACAACCCTGTATGATAGGTCAGTGAAACTATCAATGTGTCAAGGGGAGAAAATGGAAACCCTTCAAGAAGGGCACACAAGGGACCTCTGAATTAGAAAAAAAAACATTCTTGATTTGCACCCATACATGCAACCTGGATTGCTGCTTTTTTTTTTTTTTTTTGCTTGTTTACTTGCTTTTGAAAGAAGGGAATGGTATGATGACAGAAGAACATCCTCTTCTGGATAAGTTGTTTTCACAGGGACAAATCGCTGCCACCTGCCAGAGTGTCTAAACTATGATTATGCCTGTTCTGCTTGCAGGAGAGGAATGCCGAGAACGCCATTGAGGCTTTAAAAGAGTATGAGCCTGAGATGGGCAAGGTCTATCGGTCGGACAGGAAGTCTGTGCAGAGAATAAAGGCCAGGGACATGGTTCCTGGTGACATCGCAGAGGTGGCAGGTGAGTGCTGGGCCAGGGCAAAGGACTTAAAGAAGAGGCAGTGATCCACTTAGGATGAAAAAGACTCAGCAAGCAGCAAATTGGAATTAAGGAGATACTGGCACAACTCCAGACATCTTATGTAGCCTTTATACCCCTCAGTGGCTCACAGCATAGGTCCCCAACTCAAAATATGTAATTAGAAATGATGATGTTGCTGTTGGGGTGTTGAGGGTGATGTTCAGAATAACTGCTCTTTTTTAATTGAACAGAGAGTCAGGTGATCCTTCCTCTAATGGCTATGCATTAAAAATCATGGCTATGCAAAAAACCAGCCTCTGCTTTTCTATAGGCCATACCTTCTTACGGACCAAGTGCGATTGTGAGTCAGTTACGTCAGAGGCTTTTCTGTTCTGCCTTCTGGAGAGAATGTGGTCTTTTTGATGGTGTGGCAAAGGCACTTTGGGGAAAAGATGGTCTCAGTATTACTCAGGCAACATTAACTGCGGCAAATGGATCAGGAATTGGTACTGCTGTATCTCCACTAGAGAGACTTAAAAATGATTGAGAGTCTGTGATGTTTGAAGCAGTTGTTGATGTGATCATTGCATGTCTGGATTATATAGGCCGTATTCTATGCCTTAGCAGGATCAGTCAGCAATTGAGGATTGAATAGCCTAGGACAGGCATTACCATATTAAGTACAGTGGTGCCTCGCTTAGCGATTGCCTCGTTTAATGATGTATGCGCTTAGCGATGAGGTTTTTGGAGCAATTTTGTGCTCCATTTAGCGATGTTCCCTATGGGGAAATTTCGCAGAGCGATGTTCGGGACCTTGCCTCACTTAGCGATTACAGTTTAGGTCCCCCTGTTTCGCTTAGTGAACCTACAGTTCAATACATTCCAATGGGGGGGGGGAAATTCACCAAAAATTAACGAAGAGGCAGAACAAAGCCAAATTAGGTTTGCAAAGGTTTTATAAGGTGCACTAACAATTCCAAGCATTTAAAACAGTTTTCGAACATTTTAAGACACTTTAAAAATAGCGAAAACAGACCTGTCAAAACCACTGGAATGCATTGAATAGGCTTCAATGCATTCCAATGGGGGAAACATTGTTTCGCTTAGCGAAGTTTCCTATAGCGATTTTCGCTTAAGGACAGTAATCCATTCCCACTGGAATGGATTAACCGATTTTCAATGCATTCCTATGGGAAATGGTGTTTCGCTTACCGATGTTTTCCCATAGCGATGTTTTTTTGGGAACCAATTAACATCGTTACACGAGGCACCACTGTACCTAGCATGTAAGGTGTTGGGTGTTGAACAAGAGAGCACCATTTCCTGAGAAATGTAGGATAACCACAGGCAGTGTGGTCAGAAATTACGTTTTGCGGCTCATATAAGGAAGAGGAGGGTTCTAGCTGAGAAGAGAAGGTTCAGCAGAACTTCTGTTTGAAGAAACAAATAGAGGCAGGAAGCCTTCTCTATCCCTTGCAGTTTATAAAATGGTACAAGAGAATATCAACTAGGCCTTAGTTAGGCCAGGTTCTAAGTCTCAAACAAGTAAGATAATGTGGTATCTGAATTTTTCCTTTTAGAAAATGCACTGCTGATAATCCACTCAATATTCTTCCTGCAACATTGTGGGAACTTTAAGCTGTCCTTGGCAATAACAAACTTGCCAGCAGTCAAACCCTCTTTTCCCCTCCCATTCCCAACCCTTGCGCCTACTTCAGGGCTGGCTTCTGCCAGTTTCACCCTTCAATGGCATTTTTATGCAAAGCCTCAACCTAGGGATTCCCCCACTTCTATTTTCTAAGCCATTATTAGACACTGACAAATTATCTAATGACGGGTTGGGGCAGCAATTACCTGCGTCTGGGGGGGGTATGTGGGCACTTTTCCCATGGGATCAAATGGTGGCCTCCTTCAACCCCAAGCTTACGGGGGGGGGGCGTATTGCAGATGCTGCTGCTTCAGCAAGATCTTTGTGCCCCCCCGCCAGCCATGCCTGTCCCTCCATCATGGAGCTTGTTTACTCCTTGGGCTTGGCCTGTCTTGACCCTAGAATGGAGGCCGAGAGAGAGGGAAGGGGATGTTTTGGGAACAGACAGTCCCCATGGAGGGTGCAGGCTGGAGGTGGAGCAGTGAAAACAGAGCCCTGAGGAATCCCCTTCAGCTGCACTTACTGGGTAACAGCTGTTCTTGCTGCTGGGCTGTTGGCCAAAATATCCCTTCCCTTCTCTCTGAATTAATTTATTAATTTAATTCAGAGATCATTTATAAACAGGGCCAGTTGCACAAGTGTTTCCAAAATATAAAGGGCATGCAGCCACCACCCACTACCCTCCTGTAGTCCTTCAGGGAATGGGGCAGCCTCCTGAACATTTCACCCATCCTGTCTTGGGAGAGAGGTCAAAGGTTCCTTACAGCCCTCAGCGGTTTTGCACCACCTTGCTCACCACAGTAGGGGCGGCCCTGTAGACATCAGGAAGAAAAGAAGAAATGCATCACCTAGATATGAGGACAGTAAATGAGCTAATTTATGGATATAGACACAAATCTAGAAAGTACTGCTGTTATTTAAATGGAAAATTCAAGAAGTAAAATATAGGCCGGGTCAGTCTGCAGTCCAAAGGTTAGGTGTTGTGGAACCACTTCAAGGCCTAGAACTTACCGGAGCTTGTTTTGAAATAGGACTTGGACTAGGCAATGTTTAAAGAGCAGAGATTGTCCTCTGTAGAGCAGGACTTGCAGCCAACCTACTCTGCAGCAGGCCTTCTAATTGTATTATTTTAAATGAAGTTTATGTATCTATCTATCTATCTATCTATCTATCTATCTATCTATCTATCTATCTATCTATCTATCTATCTATCTATCTATCTATCTATCTATCTATCTATCTATCTATCTGCCTTATATGCCGCCCACTCTACCCAAAGGTCTCTGGGCGGCTTACAACAATTAAAATACAATAAAAATACAATAAAAAGATTAAACAATTAAAATACAATTAAAATAGATGCTCTAAAAATTGCCATCAGGACCCACAGTTGATATTATTTCAATTAAAAGTTCCAAGGTCCTTGCTTTTATGCACTTTCAGCCAATGAGGAGGAATGCCCCTTTAACACATAAATATTGTTTTTAAAAGTGTGTGCATTCCTGTATACACATGCACAGACACACACACCCTTATTAACTGAATTTAGTTCAGAAACGGTTGAAAGATAAATTGCAGAAGGTTCTACAAATGCTTCCTTCTGTTTGATACATAGGACAAAAACTCTTCCACTGTCATACTTAATGCCCACTCATTTGGTCATGCTTCTTAATTTTGCCCCTTGCACTCTTAGTTTATTATACATTAAAATCATTTATAAAATGATTCCCTGCCCTAATTTTAGATCAACAATGTCTGAGGAAGTGGGTTTTGAGCCATCAAGTTTCATACTGAAACAAATCTGTTAAGGTGCCACAATGTTTTGCCCTTTTGATTTTGTCAATAAATATGTAGATTAAAAGATACTGTTGGGTTTTTTTTAAGGGGGGGAAATGAAAGCTGATAGGCCATTTCATCTGGGACTGTAGAGAGCTGGATGCTGTAAGGATGCCTGAGCTTGGAAAAGCTATTCTCAGAATTTTAATTAAAATGTGAACCTCAGAATCTGTCACTTAGATCAGTGGTCCCCAATGCTGGGCCTCCAAATGTTCTTGGACTACAACCATTTGAACCTCAGAACCTATCATTTAGATAAGTGGTCCCCAATGCTGGGCCTCCAAATATTCTTAGACTACAGCTCCCAGAAGCCTTCACCACCACCTCTGCTGGCCAGGATTTCTGGGAGTTGAAGTCCAAGAACATCTGGAGGCCCAAGGTCGGGGACCACTGACTTAGATGGCTAAAGTGCCTCAGAAAATGGAGGCTCCATTCTGAGCTATGGGAGCTAATATAGTCCTTGCTAAATCCCCAGTGTGGTGTAGTGGGTTGAGTGACAGACTAGCCCTCAGGAGGCCTGGGTTTGAATGTCCGCTCAGCCATGGAAAGTCAGTGGGGGTGTGGCCCTGGTAAAACCACTCCTTAAATATATCACTTATTAGGGTTGCTATAAGTCGATTCCAACTTGATGGCACAGAACAACAACTCAGATCCCCCTATCTGTCATGCCCTCTTTAAAAAAAAAAAAACACTACACATGTCTGGGGTAAACAGGGTCTTGTGCGCTTAAGAGTTATACAGGAGAAGGAATTCCAGCCAGGGCCACTTTTCTTATCCAAGCAGGACAAGCTGCACCTGAGGAAATCCCCTCCTAAATGTACAAGGGCTGTCCCATCATTTTTACTTAGCTTCCTCCTAAAGCTCCATACAATATCTTGAAGGAGGGGATTCCACAACTTAATCATATACTGTACATTGTGGAGACATTCAAGGTTCAGATGCTCCTGGGATGGGGGAATTTGAGACAGAGATAATATTGAGAAGGGATCTTATGGAGCACGTTACCAATTTTGTATAGCTCATCTTTTTTTCGCCTTTTTTCAAGTATGGTTGGTGAAGCAGTTTTAGCATCACCTTTGGGGATATAGGAACATGGTCTTTGCCAACTCTCACCCAGCCTGGCCTGGCCTTGAGTTCCCCTCCTTGTCAAGGGAACCCATGACCTCCCCATCTCCTTGAAGGAGAGAAGGCAACCAGGAGGTGGATGCTGCCCAATAACCGGCTTAGCCTTGTATGGACTGTACCAGGCAGCTGGTGATGCCTTGGGAATGTGATGAGGCAGGCAAGGAGAGAGAGAGAGAGACACTTAATGCGCTGGTGGAAAAGCGAGCTGGGGTGCATGGGGACATCTAGGGTTACTGTGCCCTGGGAGATGGAAGGGAGGCAGGCAAAGAGGAGAGCCAGAATGGAGGAGGGTTGCCTTTTGAGTATGCCAGGAGTTGAGGAATGTGACCAAAGAACTATCCCCCACTTCTCTTAGCCCTCATTCATATGCCTGTAGGCACCAAAACATATC